TAGTTCACAGCCAGCCGGGTGGCGTCGTGAGTAAAAATGAGCCTAAGTGCAAGGTTAATATTCAACATGGAGATTGAGAGGTTGCCTTTTCGTCCTGTTACATTAAACATGTTTAAAATCATGTGATTGCTGAAACTGCGTTAAAGAAATATTTAGGAAGTTTATTCGAATCGTGTTATTGTTCTTAGGTTGATTCAATCTGAAAATAGTGACTTCGATGTAAGCGGTAAACGTCGGTGTTGGCCACCCTTTGGCATCGAAAAGGACTTTGTCGGAGTTGTAGTGAATAAAAATGTATGGGTCACCACCAAAGAGGGTTGGTGGGAGGCTGATTGTTGATGATTCAACTGGATACATGTCCAAGCTCCAATTGTAGGTTTCGCAGGTTTTGACAGAACGGAGCAAAGTGAGCCGTGTTTCCACAGCTATTTCTTGACTCGTTTGCCAACAAAAGGAAGCTTTGAAGCAAAAAAATGTTGGAAGCTTGGGAATGAAAGAGCCAAATCTTGGACATTGTCGAAATTTCATAAGGTGGAATTGTTGTAAACTGTTAATGTGGATGTTGAAGCATTTATGAGGTCCCTTCAAATGGACTGGCAGTAGTTTCTGGAAGATGAGGTTTCAACCCACGCAAATCAGTGTTTACATTCAATCGACTAGAAAGGCACCATCTGTTTTCAAGACAACGGTTGACCACTTATTGGTCATAAAACAATACACCTGCCGTATTCCTTTGACCTTGCTTCTTCAGTGTTTCACCTGTTTCGTTTTCCGCAAAATAAGTTGAATATCCAAAAATTTGATTTCATGCAAAAAATCAAAACTCCCTAAAGATCATACGGTTTTTATGAAGACGTAATTCAAAACTTTTAAAATGTTGGAATTTGATTATAGGAAGTGGAGGAGTATGCATTGTGGGAGTTGGCTGTAAGTAAGTTGATTTCAACTAGGGCACGAATTTTTTTGCAATTACCCAAAACAAGTCGCACAAACGTGGTCTTGTAGCACATAGGTTCTTTAAGTGAGCCTAAAACGACTAAATACAAGCTTGTGATGACTTTATCACAGTCGAAACCATATTTCATGTTCTGAAATACAGCGATACACTTAAATGTCAATAAAATGTTCCCGCAGTACAATCCTTTCTACTGTGCTAGCAGCATCGGCTCTCGCGTGTACGTGACTAAAGGCTAGTCGAGGCAACCCCACAGCATGGTAGAGGGCGCGCACAGCTTGCCCAAATTACTCCCTGCAAATAGGAATCTGGTATTTGGTGAAGCCTAGTTCTAGGTTCCAGCGCGTGAAAAGGAAAAGTGAATTTTTTTATTGTTTAGAGAAGCTGACGTTTTTACTGAGTGTTCTAAACGCTTTAATGGACCACTAGCAACATGTTCACCTTATGTAATGCAGAAATGAAATCGGACTCAATTCACAATGCCTCATTCCCTTTCAGGCAATTCGAAGTTCGTCTGGTCTGAATATTTTTACAGGCGCTTTGGGGAGCCACCTTAGTGACCTCGCAAATAATCGATTCCCTTTTCCCTCAGCACAATGATTAATCACTAAATGGGATAAAATTGAGCTTAGTAGATTATTAGATTCTAGACGTTAGAGTGAGACCTCTCCCAAAATCTGTTAGACGCTAGTGGTTGCTTATCATTAGGAATTGCAGCCCACCAGCGGTCAACGAGTCCTTAACTTTTCGTCTCTATAGCCACCTCCAAATCCTTTTAACTGGATTCAGCCATTTCACCTTGGATGTAGACAGAGCTATCAATAGCCTCCGGAGAGGCATTTTGGCAAAAAATAGCAAGTTTTTGCCTGTTTTCTATTAGCTTTTCCAACTGACATCCCTCTCGTTTGCGCTAGGAGGTATACGTTCAAATTACCATGCATAGACCGCAAAAGAAATGCCCTGGGCTGTGACACCGTGTTGGGGCTGTTCACCAGTCACTTGCGCGTGCAGAATATTTTGAGCATTTCAGACAGATTCTTTGTAAACACAAATATTGTTTTTTCAAAAGATTGATGTTCCCTGTCAAGTCGGCGGTAAACATGCATGCCGGTATCCACAGTGCCGCATAATCTGCAATTTATCTAAAAGCCTCAGGTTTTAATTAAATGTTATCCAGCATGTTTGTTTATATCTTCCGTAACACTTTGGAAGTCAACACGATGCCTAGATTCAAACAAATATACCCTTTCTAAAAATTCAAAAATGAAGCTATTGTAAAATCTGCCAAGTTTTACTGTTGCTTTTAAATGTGGTAGAACAAACATTGATTAACCAGGATCTGGTGGAGTTTGTCTAAGAGGAAACAAAAGCATTTCCGGTTAGCACTTGACTTTTAATTGTAGGTGACTTGGTCTACCCAATGTTTAATTAGTCCAATGAATAAGGCTGTGGGGTACTCACAACCAATTGTCGAAAGCTCTCCCTAACTAACTTTGTTAAGATACGTTTTACATGTATTCTCGTATATTTATGTTTGCATTAAAGACATTTTCCAGGAAATCATCTGTCAAAACAAATACTTTGCTGGAGTAACTCGTTTAAGCGTTGTGCAGGTAGGGCTCTGTCCTACTCACTGAAATACTTTAATAAAGTCAAAAAAGACTGGCTTGGTGCCCTCTCTCAAGTGATCGCAGATTTACTATGTAGCTTAGCGATAGGCTAACGGCATTAGCGGCTTGCAGATCCGTGATTATTTTCACAGTTACTGGATTTAACTAATAGCTTGGTTAAATTCCAACAATTAAATCAGTAAAGTACTTTTGATTAAATCAACTGGCGTCATTCACCCCTGTTGTCACGGTTCAACCAACGGGTTAAACGTCGTTAATTATTGCCGCACCATCTTTCCAGGGCGCTATTCACTCCAAACCTTGATCTTAATCCATGAATCCCTTGGAATAAAAGGAATGCATCAACGGCAGTCTGGCAAGTCATATCCAACTTTGTCCTCTCCGCAAAGTTGGATCATCTTTCACGTAAAATCATCTTCATTTTTTTGAGGAAAAACGGCCAAACTTCTCCAGTGTTTCCCATTTTCGTATGCTTCTGGTTTTACCCATGTGTGTAATTCAACTGTCGTCTGTTGGGGAAGTTAAAAGAGAAGGTTAAGTTTGCAAATTGACGATTGTCGTCTTCGTCATTGAACCCACTTACTTGTCAAATAAATGACGGGGCAGCCTGCAAGTCGTCACTCATCGAGAAAGGTTTTCTCTTGTCCAAATTAGTTTTTTTTGGTAAGTACCCACACAATGACCGGTAATCATGGTTTCCCAGCTTCCTTGACTGAGGCCAGATTTACTGGATTTCAGTTTCGTAGAATGACCTATTTTTTTACGATCAATGCATGTTTAGCAGTGCCTAGTAAAGGGTACTAACACGGACACCCGCCTTCTCTCCCGTCACGCCAATTTCTGTTCAAACAATTAAAATGATAAAAGAAGCGTTTAATTTCGACCACACCTTTTGTAATTGCATGTGCGAATTACGTCATACCATCATTTACTCCTCCTTGAGTAAAATCTATTAACTTCAACTTAAAACCACTGTGTGATACCCTTTTTTAAATTTTTTCTACAACCTGATTGTGACAAATGTGGACATTAAGACCCGCTTAAATGCTTTTTTTTGTTCAAATCACCCATTTTTATGTTCCTCGTGAGATAACTACTATACTTTGTGCAGCGTTTTCCAAATGCATTTTTAGCAAAGTGAAATTTACCGACGACTAATTAAAAGGTCAAATTAATGTCTTTTATGTCACCTTACACCTACAAATGTACACTTTCCATGACTAGAAACCAAACTGCACTTATGTTTTAGAGAGAACCGAAGACGATGTTGAAAGTAGTACCAAAAGATAGTATATATCGTTTCATGCTCTCTTGCCTTGCTTGTCTTGTAGTGAACTTAACTACCCGCCTCTGCAAGCCCTCCGGCGTCACGAGTTCTATCTCCTCTGGGTCATCATGCTGTGCAACATAATCCCCATCACCCTCATCACTGCCTCCTTTAAGGTGCGTCGTGTGAGGTTTCTGTCCACCTTGAATGTGTCGCTCGTTGTCTTCTACTTTGACATCGCGTGTCTGGAAGAAAACTTGCAGTGTGCCACTTGATCCTTGTTTTAAAGAAAACGATTTAAGCAAGTAGGGTTTTTTTGTTTCAATGGCTCAATCCCCTCATTATTGTTAAACAGTTGAAATTCATGCTTATTTAACTTAGTCTGCCAAAAAGGGTCCTTGTTTTGAGTCCCCTGCAGAGCGTCCAACCGATGCTGATGTCGTTAAATTTTACTTTTATAAAAAGTGACGTCTCCACTGAAGCATTGACATCACCTTGCATTTTGTTGCAGCTGGTGGGTCAGGGGCACATCTCCGACGATCGGTTCCTCTCCGGTGTGGCGACGGCCAGCTCCATTTTCAATTCGGGTGGACGCATTATTTGGGGCGCTGTCTGCGACAAGGTCTCCTTCAAGGTATCGCTTTCGTTTTTTTCCTGTTAATCAACCGGAATCCTAAGTGACCTCCCTTGTTTCCGGCTCATCAGACAAGCTTTCAAGCTTTGAACAATTCAATGTGTTCAGGATTGGTCTGTTGGTGTGTTACATTACTCCTTTTGGCAACCATTAGTGACTTATTTTAATAGGCTTTTTTGTGCTGACTTTCCAACATATTTTTTTGGGGGTCGCTCTTGTTTGTTCCATTCCAAAACATGGCTATTGTAAAATTGCAAAAAAAGTGTTTGGGCAACGTCCGCCTATTGTTTTGTCGCAGTTAACTCCTCCACTAGTTTGTACATTGAACTTTGCTTAATATCTTAGAACAACAAAAGGACAGCAGTTTTTTTAAGTTAATGATGCCATTTATTGATCACTATTATTAAATTTTTGCATAAAAATACTGTAACTAATGGTTTTTTACCTTTCGTAAAACACAGACCCCCATTAAGCATCCAATGATGGCACCATAGCTAACGCTTAGAAGGCACTATGCAGATGATATTTTTAGACTTGCATCCTGATTGGGAGACAGTGCACTTTGGCAGTGAAGATATTAAGCTGTTCGACAACAGGAAATGGCCATTTCTGCCCTTCCTATAAAGTTTCGCAGACAAGGTAGCATCGTGTGTTCTGTTATCGCAATCCACTTGTTGACTTTCAGCTCTAAAAATCTGCCAACCTTTTCAAGACAAACGTTTGGTTGTAACATCGAATGGCTGGGCGGATTTCCTAGATTCCGTCTTAATCCTTGTCCCCCTGTTCGGCCTTTGGCCGTGGCTGATCCGCCTAAGCCCCTTCGAACGTCATTTCACACCTCTTTTGTTTGCGATAAATGTTCCCCTTTTCTTGCAACCTCGAGCATTCTACTGGGAGTCTTTAGAAATTTGTTTGTTAAATTAGGTTGTGTACTTTGGTTAATCGGACGAATAATGCGGTCGAAATATGCAAAAGACTTCGCAGTTTCCTCTCTTTCATTAAGTTATTAAGTTTTTTGTTACTCTCGTCAGAGTTAAGTAGCCCTCAAGACCAGACAACGGTATTGTTGGATGATTTTGTCATTTAGGGCAAATTATCTGTGCCCCGGTCAGACAGCTCTTTTCTCATTAGCATTACTAGAATTTGTGTCGGTTCACGCATAACATGGCCCGAATGGCATTTGTTGTAAAAACCACCCGAACATAGCATGCAAAATGTAGTTTAAGTTCGGCAGCACTGTCTAGACAAAGTATTAGATCCAGTTTCTGCTATCGCTACTTCTGTTTCCTCTATTTTGAAAATATTAGCCTGTCATTTAGATACGCAATTTGATCAGCCCACACAAAGTAATGTAGATGGTGACAGAACAGCTTATTGATGCGTGAGAATGAACACGCTGCCCAGCGTTTAAAAGCAATTAAAGTCACAGCACGTCAAGTGGAGTTTTGTCATGGTATATTTTTGACACAAATGTGCCGTGCCTAGCGAGAATATGTGAAAACTGCTGTCGGGAAACCTGAAATTATTACGGAAAAGAAGACTAACCGTCGCTTAACCAGTACAAGCTACTTTGTCCTTTAAGCCATAATTAAATAATCCATGCGTTTATTTAATATCTTAGTATTTATATTTCATTATTTTACAAATTGGCAGTCCGCGGTGCGTAGCTCCACGATATTTCAAATGTCGGCTAACAGTCCTTTAACCATTGACAAAAGTGAAAAAAGCCATCTCAATCCGTGCCCTCGGCTGCATTAAGGACTACAAATGGCAATTGGAAGTTATGGTAAATGACTGAGAAAACCACGAAAGGTCTGGAATGAAACCAGGTTAAGTTTTTTTCTGATTTTCTGGTTTTGCGTTTTGGCCAAATATTTTTTTAACCGTTCAAGTGCTTGAGTTCGCCAATTAAGCTCATCTCAACCTTCACGTGATTTCTCGCTTTTTGTTGGGCATGAACATTTATTATTGCCTGTTGTGAAATTTGGATATTGGGTATCTTGTGTACAGTCAAATCATAAATTAAGGAAGCTAATGACGAAGGAACTAGCGGTTAAATATTGGAGCTATAGCACGCATACCTAAAAGATTTTTAGTCGACACAGGCCAACATACATGGATTAAAATTTGGGTTCCTACTTCGTCATCAAATTTCCTTTCTCACCTAAGTTAGACACCGCTGTTTCACTGCCCTTTTCCTTTTGCTCTTTTTGATGGCAAATTTGAAGTTCAACTTTTCAGAAGGTAGAATCCACGCCCGTGTTTCCATTTGAATTGCTGCCATTCTTTTTGTGCCACTTCTTTACCCTGCAAGTAAGCATATTAAACTGTGATTTCGATACCGTGACCTGTAAAAGTGGGAATTTCGCTAGCCATCTTCCCGTAATGCCAATACTTATCTACATCTATTGTGTAGTATTATTAGGCAAACGCTTTCAATGCTGATGAATTACCGTGTTTAGCATAAAGCGCACACATAACAGGCAAGTTTATCTAATGAGAAAAAATCAGATGTTTGTGTAAAATCATTTGGCAAACGCGTGAATCTACAACAAAACTTGGTCTTTCAATTTTGGGCAAATTGCTGTACTGAATTTTTGCCTTCCTTCGTCTGTCAGTTTTTTATAAAAAAAAATGTCCCTCATCGAGAAAAACTTTCACTCAGTGCAAGCCAAATATGCTCTTGGTTGTTTGACAGCTCTACAAAGCCTCACGGAATGCAAACACCTCTTTCTTCAAATAATGCGTACCAGGATAAATTTTAAACCCACTACTTTTGTGTGCATTTCTGACTTCATACTCACTGTCTGAATCCCTGCCTTAATACTTTTGATCTAACAATAAGGCTAAATTTCCGATTGTTTTGGGTTGTTGTTTCTCATACAACTTTAAAACATTTTTAGTAACTCTGCCCAATGAAGAAACATTTTCTACACTTAAAGAAAGCATTCTGACATTACGATTCCCGTGATTGCCTTAACCGCTTTTCGCTAAAAAATTCATTTTATATTGCATATAATTACTGAGCAATTTAAGCGTTCTATCTATCATGTTTTTAGTACTTTCGGTCCCTTTTTATGCCAACAACACCTTATCGAAACACCATTTTCCATTTATGTATTTAAGAAATTAATTTTTATTTGTGCCATTATGTAGAGAACAAGTTATGGCATTCATTATCCCAGGCGTACAGCATGTACTATTTAACCCAATTCGCACCACACTCTAAAAAGATTGTTTTTGAAAGAAATTAGTATGTTAGTGGTCTGGTTAGAGGCTTTTTTTATTTAAGCATACAACATAGAATTTCTTTATAATCACTCGTCTGATTTGTCTCAAGCTTGTTATTGTAGTCGCTTTAAGTATTTCATCCTCAAGTAATTTCTTCAGCTCACGTTTATAATTGGGATGGGGTTCAAGCTCCTTGTTTCTCAAGCCTCACATATCTTGGTCCCGTCCACACCGGTAAACACATAAAACAATGTTTTCTGAATGCGTGCCTAGAAGTCATCCGTGCTTGCAAAATGAATCTCCAGAGACTCGACGCGTTGCTTTTCAAACGCGTTTTCTCTTCACTAAAAAAAGTCTTGTGTTGTGCGTTCTGCATGTTTTCTCCGCACGTTTTTAGGTGCCCCTGGGTGTCATACTGTTGAGTTGGGCTGCCATCCTCTTCTCCTTCCCGTACATCGTTGCCGTGGAAGTCGGTGCGATGGCCTTCTACGCCATTTGGGTCTGCCTCCTCTTCCTCTGCCTCTCCGGTGTTTTTGTGCTCATGCCGGCCGCAACAGGACGCATCTTCGGGCCGGTGTACATGGCTGTCAACTACGGCATGGTTTTCAGCGCATTTGTACGTTTTTCATTGTGCCAGAATTCAGGAAGTATTCAGTGCTATGATTTGCCAAATTCTTTCGGCCTGTGTGCATTTTAGCAGACACGTAACTTTCCCATGGCGCGTAATTGATTTTAAACACTTCACATTGCCTGTTGGTCACAAATATTATCGATATTTGCAAGTTAAAGCGATTTGAGGTTCGTTCACATAACACCGCCCTGACGTCCAACTTCTCGGGTCGTCAAGTGCTGGTGGGATAACACTCAACTCCGATTATTTCATCCAGCTGTCTGAGTTTTGCTTTAACTCCCAATCCATGATACTAGCCTTGTTTCTAGAACCTTTTTTTTTGTAAATTAATATTAAACGGTTTTTCACAGTTTGAAATTAATACCGAAAACATCCTAATTCATTGCAGCTTTGTGCTGTCTAAGTGTTTGTTCTTAGTTGTGCTCTGTGTTGGTGTGAAGGCAAACGTAGTTCGTAAAAACAAGTACATAAATTTTCTGATAGCTGTGATTGGTCGATTTTTAGTTGAAATACAAATGGGATTGGTTGGCAACGCTCTAGAAATTTGACATAGTCTACGTTAACGTTCCTAATTCGTCGTTTTTCTGGCTTGAATCGATGATCCCTTCTAGGCAAGTCATATTGCCGAATTTGGAAAATAATTTCCCAAATGCATGGCTTTTTTATTTTTTATTAATTTGATTTATTTTTTATGGTCTGGTTTGGGATGTTTGTGATAATCGACAGCTTTAAAATAGCCACACATTATGAAGTGGACGATGGAACTTTGTGAATTAGAACTCATTATCTGTAGAAGTGATGGCCAGTTGGTTAAATCACAAGAGTAAGCTGGTAAATTATGATTTTAAAAGTAGCGTAAAGTTTCAGATTTCATGAGCGGTACCATGGAAACTTACCCTTTTGTAAACAGAATGCAAATAACATCTTAATTCAAACTTTTCGTCTGTTTATCCATACAGTCAAAATTGTAATTTGCCCTCGGATGTTCACGAAACATGCATTACTGATCGTATCAAAAAAAATCTCAAAATCGTTGTGTTGTGGTTCAAAATTTTTTCAATTTGATTCACTTGAATTTGAACTTCTTTTGATTCTAACTGACACAGTAATTTTGATTTTTACGAGAACACAACTTTTTTCTCTCAATTCACTTAAACGCTTTAAACTGACCGCTGTTTTTTGCAAAAATTAATTTTTTTTTCAAATTAAGTAAAGCTTAAATTCTTAGTCCCATTGTGTCCCAAGGTCGGATGTGTGTGTATAGGTTTTCTATAGAGTTTTGCAAGGTATCTCACGATACCTTACACCTCGTAATCAGATGGCGTCTGGACATCGCTGTTTAGTCTACACTCGTGACATTATATTATTTAACAGCAGTCACCCAATGACCGAGGAATACGTCAACATGCATATAAAGCGCTTTAAAGTGACGCGCGTTCAGCGTCAAGTGTGGTTCTTCTGCGTCTATTAGTTTCACGTATAAAAGCGTGGGATTTTGACTAGTTAAGTCTGTTTTGTGCCAACAAAAGCGCCTTCCTAAAATTAGAATGGAAAATACTGCAACTTTAAACATACAGGCCGCAGAATTCAGTGTATTTATTGTGATTTGCCCTTTTGTATTTGCAGTCAGTTGGCAGTATCATTTGCGCAGTCGTGAGTGAAAGACTCAAGGGGCACTGGACCCTTCTGTACGCTCTCTGCGGAAGCATTTGTCTCTTCGGTAAGGCGCCTGTAACATTTGCTCTAAATGCAGCCTAAAGGGAGCCCCTGAAAGTGACTTGTAGGATTCACTTGTGAATTGAAGACATGCCACAGCGACAAAAAATCTGGACTTGTATTCTACTTTCCTATAATTCGCTAACACACTAATGTCACCAAATGGTTTCTCTATCAATAGGATTTGGTCGACGTGTGTCAGCGGTTCAGTTTAATATCGCTTTACTGCGTAGAGTGACTGGTAGTTACACCCAAGTGGCATAAACAATAGTTGTACTTTTAATTGTGTTTCAGAAAAAAACTGCCCAACTCACTCCTAGGTAGGCGGACTTTCAGGTGCTTGGCCAATGTAATTTCATTTGTTGCGTGAAGGTAGCCACCGCATAGGCGTCTATTCTCACACCCATTCTTTTTCCTTCTGTATCCCTGGAGCAGCTGATTTCTTCTTCACCGTAACTTTTCAGTGTCACTCAGTTTTTTTTAAATGGCCGTTTAAATCTGCGCAGGGCCTGACGGACTGCACACATTCTTGAATTACGGCATTTTGTTTGTGTCTACTTGAGATTCAAACATGCGCAATTAAAATGCAACAAACCTGTTCTCGTCAACAAGCCGCAAGGTATTTTCAAAACGCGCGGTTTACGTTATTTTATTTTCTTTGACTGGCATCCCTTTCAAATCGCGACAATCAAAACTAATGTGGCCTTTTTTTCCTACCGCAGTCTGACCGGATGTGAAAGATGTATCATTTAGTCACGTAGTCCAATTATATTTTCACTAGGTGCGATTCCGCTGTCAGCACCAGGCGTACGCACATTATGTTAACTGAAACATGGCATTTTTGTGGAATTTAAGACATTTGGAGAACACGCTTGTCGTAGGCATTCCCATCAAAAAGCCAATGCAAGTAGTCTTTAGGATATTTGTAGACGTTGTGTTAGTAAGCACAGAAACGCATTCATAACTAGCAGACTTGCCAATTGAGGATGAATCAACTTCCGAAATATTTCATTTCTGCAAACGTAAACCTACATTGTGGGATAAATCTGCATTTTGTTGGGACCAAAAAACAACCAATTGCAAAGAGCTGTGAAAATAAATTGAATTTGTCTGAAGTCTAATTTTGTGTGTAATCAAATTTCCCATTAGCTGATACTATGTGTATTGAAAGCGTCGCACAATTTGTTGAGTACGGAACACATTTAGGTATTTTTTTTCTTAATTTGTCATAGTTCGAAGCCGAAGGACTTGCATAGAATGACCAGTGCGGTTGTCGAGTTATCCTCTCTTGACTTGCTAGTCCTTTGACGAAACCTCGGCTAGTAGGTGTTTTCCTTCAAGAATAGATACTTATAAAGTAACACACATCAAGGGCCTAAAAATCTGAAGGCAATGGGGAAAGTGTCTGAGTTTGGCTAAGCGGAAAGAAAGTACGGGAAATTTAGATCGCCATAAAAGTCATACCGCTTACTATTTGTGGGAGTAACAGGTGCCAGGGAGAGTGGCACAGTGATTCGAAAATAAAAAAGTGCGATCAGCTAAATTGTGCAGTTTTGTATTGGATTCTAGTTATTGCGTTTTATGCTTATGCATGGTGGAAGCGGGGTAAAATTTTATCATGGCAATTTTAAAGTCATGCTTTATGTCAAAGTTTTGTTATCTAGTCATGATTTTTTAAATTTGCGTGGTATGGCGATCATTGCCCATTCATTCAAATTTATTTATCCGTCAAGTGACCTTGTTCCCTCACCATCCTGTCCGGCAAATGCTACTGAGGAGTTGATAGTTTTTCGTCCTGTCCATTGGGATGGGGTAAATTTTGCGATTACGTTTCCGTTACCCAGCATAACTATCGCCTCTTGTTTAGCCTTCTTCGTACTGATCTGGCTGGACGACCCTTTTATCCCGAAGAGGGCCAACCTCTGCTCCCCGTGCACTGGCGTCCTTCAACGCCTTCAACCCAAGGTTCCCTTGAAACCGCCTAAAAGGCAGGAGGAGACTGCAGAGTCTGTGTGAGGATTTTCAGTCATCTGCGAACAATCACGCCTTCTTGTGCCCCTTGGACTTAGTACATTCTTCACCGCTTGGCTGTAATTTCATTTCTGATCAGCATTGCCTCAACAACACATCATCAACATCATGAACTCTTTTCACCAATTAAAACTACTCATTTAGCCGGATCCATACTCATTTACACCTATAATAAAGATAAGGACGCTTTTTCTCCCATAAAGTGTTCTGGAATTTGTAAAGGGAGGCAAACAATATTTCGGAGCAATCAAGTTAGTCGGGAATCTTTGAGTTGTTTATTAACGTAACTCAGCTAGTGGCTTTAAGAATTCCAGTTATAATTCATTGGATTTACACAGTGGTCTTTCTCTACAATTGTCTTGTCGGTAACCTAGCTCAACCTCTGTCGGCAGGGGGTATATGCTTTATCGAAATCGCATTGTGCTTTTTTGTAATTTTGATTGGTTCCCATGAAGTAGTTGAGTTTTTGTTTCAGGAGAGATCTTAAAAAATTACGTGAGACGCATTATTTTAAAAAAAGTTTTCTTGGTGCAGATTCAACCCATAAACACAGACAAATATGTTCGCGTTCTTCTCGGCATGGTTTTAGGATTACAAGGTAGTGTTTTTAAAGTTTATGGTTCTACTTTAATAAACCTGTCATTTGAACAAACAATCTAGTGAAGCATCCTCTCAGGTAATCGAAGTAGATTTTAGCTAACTTATATCCAGCCTCGTATAGCCAGACGAAAGATGACGCAACAAAAAGCATCTGTTATTCAGCCTGCAACTCAGAGTTAGGCCCATGTGTCCAATACCAACGGCCATGTTTTTCAAGCCTTTGCGGACAGACGATTTCAAGCCGAGTGAACAGCTAGAGAATTGCAACAACCCCGGTCTAGTGTCCTCTTAAGTCATTCAGTGTCGCAGACAACCTGCATTTTACATTCCCTCGGTGAGAATGTCTACCAGTTCTTGATGAGAAAAGTAGTGCAAAATACGTTTATACTGGTAATCTGAATCATTCCTAGGCTATTTCTGTTAGGGATCCACGATTCCCCAAGATTGGTTTCTGATTCTATTAACATTAATTTATTAACATTTGTTTTGTTACGCTTTTATCAAACCAAGATCAACCTTGACTTGAATTAGTTTCGTTTTCACATTCGATTTCACTTTTTCTCTGCGCGTGGCTGACGTGAATAAAGCTCTCTACTCGAGCTCAGGTCTTGTTCTTGTATTAGCCTGGGAAGGTCGATTCTAGCTTCAGCAAGGGTTCTGGTACCGTTACTTGAGTGGTCTTCTCTTTTGTTACGGGCAAACTTAACAATTTCATAGCCTCGATCAAAATTCGTGAAGTTGACGTTACCAATGTGTGTGAAACTCCTTCCATAAAGATAACCATTAAGGAAACATGGTTTATTTCTGTGATTGTGGGTTTCAGTATCGATGGGACTCAGATTCCTGATGTAGGACTTCCGGCAGTTCATTTAAGGAAATGAGGTTCACGCTGCTTAGCGTAAAGAGGGTGTCTAAAGTTAAAATAGTCTAGACATTATTCTACAGTGCGCTGACGTCTAGAGAACGTGGTCGCTCGGTAGCTTTGAAGCAAACAGGTTCCATAATCTCCTCGTAGACTTCGGCCTTGCCACTGCTAACACAGCCTAAAATGAGGCAGGTTGCCTTAACTTGGTGATCGTGATCGGATGGCTGTGCTTGCTTCCTAAGTCATCGATTTTGACTTGTTAGACCAAACATGACTTTCCCAGTGACTTTGTTGACAGTCGTTGTCTTCGTTCAGAACTTGTTCAATGAGGTGCTCTGTAGTTTAATTTGCACAGTTTTGCTTAGGGAGTAAATTGGGAAGCTGCGGATAGGGTTATGTTGTCACTTTCACGGGTCTACTTTTACAACACCTCATTGTACTTACTTAGGGCCTGGCTTTGTTATCTGGCCTCTGTCAGAGTGCTTTTATCCCCAATGTTAAAACCACTCTGACACGGGCCCATAATCTATTCAATCCCGCAACTCCAGCAAATTCACACCGATGTACGGACGGTGAATACAAACTTTTGTGCCACCCCCTCTCCTATCGTTCGCCTTCGCACAAGGCCCACTCCAAGCGCCACTTTAAAAAACGCGCTTTCTCGAGTTGCGAACCCCCTGTGACCGATTGAGGGCGTGCGGCAGCGTCAGAAAAAAAGAATGCCTTTTCGAACACAAAGAACGAACATTTGCATAAGTTTAGGTAAATTTGGTGTTATCCCATTTCCCTTTTCTTGCCAAGTCCATCTAAGGGACGCCCTTCTAATCACTAGTCAAATTGCAGTTTCGTTTTTAAAGAACTGCCAATGAAGCATTTACATGTGCTCTTCAATACAAACCCTTTGTTCTTCTATTCTCGTTTCTGTGGGCCATTATTCAATTTATTTACTATTAGACAAATCGAATGCAATTGTCAAACTTTCTGGGATATTTTAATAGTTCTACGATTTCTGCGAGTCTGTTTACCAGTGCTGAACCTGTTTTTGCTTTCAAAATTATCCGTTTTCATAATGAATAGCGATGAATTTAAAATCCTTACGTAACCAAAAAATCCATTCCTTAAACGACGGTAGTTGGGGTTAAAGATAGCCAAGTTACATTTGCTAGAAGTCGGATAAGGCATTAAATTAGAAATATTTGAACGAAAAGTCACACAAATACGGAATCATGCAAAGGAACATCGGGCGATGTTTTGTATAATTAAGATTAAGAAATGTACCAAAGATCCGAAATCATATCGCGCCTTTTTAGGCAATTTCCTTCCGCAAATACGTTTGAGGGAAATGAACTGGAAGCTATGGAGCACCGCACTACGTTTGATGTATAAGCAGGTTGCAAAGTTGCAAGGGAAATTCCTCGAAAACGAGTCGGTTCAATCGCTTGACCGTCTGCCCTGAAAAATTTTGACATCCCTGGCTAAATCAATTTAAGCAAATCGATAGAAGCCTGCGTAGCAGTCGTAACCCAGTTAAGCTATTCATTTGAACTGAATGTACGCAAATAATCTCAAGGCGGTTGTAAAGAGACTGCCAGTTTCACTGCAATTCAAATAAGCTAAGGTAGCCAATGCCACACAAAGGCAAGACGAAAAACGTTATCTTGATGATCTGTTACGATTCGTTGAAGAGCGTGCTGACATCACCAGTTCCCGGCTCGGTGAAATAGCTATCAACTGAATGTGCGAGTTAGCAAGACGTCAAAAAGAGTACTTTCAAAAACACTACTACTCTGCCCTAATGGAATCGTCAATTTTGGCCTGCATTCCCTATATTGACAGATGTTCAACTTTTCTTTTTATAACATTAAGAAAAGGTTGTCACTGCATGAGGCACTGAAGTTTTGTTTGAAAGCAAATCACGCTGCTCATTTCTACCGATCGTCGCGCAGATGTGTCTTTTATTGACGCTGGGAACCTCATCACACCCTCCTACATCACCCCGATGCTGATCAAATTTCCGAAAAAGAAGTTATAAATGGTCATTTGGATATATATTGGCTGTTCGCGGATTACCACACCAGAGATTGATCCAATCCTCTACTGCCATTAAGATCCGACTGTCGAGAGTTTTGAAGCAAAAAGGCTGGTGTAGAAACTATGTCCGTCTGATATGTTGATTTCGGGTCTAGAGATGTGAAGGGTTACTTAACAAAGTTACGTTCAAGTCAATCAAATGAGCCTTTTAACGTCAATCCGGGGAAAAGTTTGGAGGGGTCCAGCTACCACCTCGGACAGTTAGGGCTCTTGAAACGACGCCACTAATCCGCTTCGACAAAACTCAGCTGGCACACGTAGACATTGGTGGATGTTAAGCTATCCTAGGTAGATGATGTTGGTTGAACCATTATAAATATACTTCAAGTAATGAGACTGTGGATAATACATTAAGACTACGGGAAATTAGTCGTGCTTTTTTGCTCTAATCCAAAACCACAATGCCCACATTCCTTGTCTAAAGCAAGCCCAAACTTTTATATCTTAGCCAAAGGCCTACGGATATTTCAGCGCAGGCCTTTTCGAGACGAATGAGTGGGGAGAGTGTTACTTCCGCTTACTCAAACACATATATCGTCACTTTAAACCGGCTTATCCAACAAGTCATTCTGAAACAAAGTCCTTAGCTATTTCAGTTCCTACCCTTGGTTAATGTACTGGTTAATGTACTGTAACTTCCAATTGCTTCGCTTTTTCAACTCTGATACCTTGTCAAACCATCTCTTAGGACCTCCATTTAATTATTTATAATCGATCCACTGTCAATGTGTTTGCGGCTTAACTAGCTGAAAAGGCCCAAAGTCAACAGTTCCTTCAGCTCTCTCTTACACGAAATAACAGTCTTAAGGCAAAAATGATAAATATGACCACGCGACCACTCCCTTTCCTGTAAATAAATGCAAATGTGAAAAATCAGCGGGCATCGCTTAACTCAGGCAACTAATTGTGGTCCACTCTGTCGCGCCACGAACGAATCCAACCGCTTACGTTTCTTATTGGTCAGTTGAATTAAACGCGTTGATTGGTTAAAATGAAACTTCGTGAGCTCAATCACGCGATTAGCACACTAGACGTGGCCGCAGCTAAAACATCATCAATCTCAATGGATTCGAGTACACCTGTAGGTTCGGAGATGGGTGACCGGGCACGTAGTCCGCTTTTTGGTAACTCTAAGAACGCTGCCTTCACATTTGGCGGGAACGGAATTTGGCGTCCCGACACCCTGATTCCCTCGGTCGGGGAGTTGACTCCCACGAAATTCTCAACTACGATGAAGACAGATTCAATTTTCTCCTCGAGTGAGTTGCACTGGTCTATTTGAGTAGATGAGTGTTTACTTACTTCAAGGCAATTTCACATTAACATAGTGATTGGAATTTGTCAGGCCAGCGAACCGTTTGATGCCCTAAAACTCACTTAAATGTACTGACGGGGCGAAGGAGAGATTCACTTTGTCCCAGATCACCACTAACAGTAATTATGCATCAATCGACTGGGCTCTCCGGTGATCGATAGCCTGAGGCCGTCTGCTTTCCCCCAAACATCACTAGTCCTTGCATATTTTAGTGAATAGGGTGCAGTCGTTTGTGGATCTGACACTTGCAGAAACCGAGCCTCATCGTCTCTGAACTTGAAAAGCATTCGAATTGAGCTAGGACTGTGAATGCCAGTATTGAGATGCAGGTGTGTGTTCTAAAGAGTCTTCTAAGCATGTCATTATGAGGCAGCCAACTGGAAAAGCACTCGACGTTCTCCAGCAATCGTACCCTCACGTAAATCTGTAGTTAGAACCAAGTTAAGGGATTTGTGTTGTTCAAACGACTTTCATATCGACTGATTCTTTTCCTTAGAGCAGTTCAATTCGCAGCCCCCATAACTCAAGACTTAAATTATTTGGAATACGTCAAGTGTGGGAACGCAACCTCACCACAACATGCACATTTTACTGGCAACTTATTTACATCCCGACCCGAAAGAGTAGTGTGGGGAGAAAAGTCATTGCAGTGGGTAATGCTGTCGAAAATCCAGCAGATGCTGTCACCTAACAATGTGTACGTGCTGCTAGTACCCCGACTGCATCGTTAGGTGTACGACACGAGTCCAGCACATTTTAGCAGCAATTTTTATTTCCTGAAAATTTCTCAAACAAGCGAGTGGTGTCACAGGACAAGCAGTCTATGCGATTTAAACTCAGGTGTGTGCCTTGACCGTTTCTGTTGATAAGGTTGTGATAAGCTTTGAGGTCATCGCACTGGACAAACCGCGAAACGCGGAGTGTTTGCGTTTTTTACCGTGAGGGCTTGCCCAGTGTGTGTGGGGGTGGTCCCATCCACCTTGTCAACTTCAATGTCGCACGTTTGGGAGGGGGGGGGAATGGAGGTATTTGCGGTCCAGATCCTGCACACCGCAGGGGGGAAGTGGGTCGTTCGGCCCACAGGGCGGTATTATCTCTCTGATAATCACTATCGTATTCGCAGTAGATAATCACGGCGGCTCAAGTGTAGATAGCAAAGCCCGGTATCACAATTTTCTCAATAGCCAATCGGAGCACTTGTCAAGCTAACTTTCGCATGGCGCAAGGGTGACTGTACTTTCTCCATTTCCTTGCTCTAACCTGTCTCCACTGCCAAAGCGCGACTACTGAATCAACTAAATTGGCTGCATCTCAGCCAACAATGTGACTGCTAGATTTGTTACCTTGTGGTGGATGGTAAGGGATGACTTAGTCAAAGTGCGATTTCAGGTGGATGTTGCACAAATTTCATACAAATGCCTAAACCTGATTGCTTGATGGGGGACAACCTTAAGTTCACATTGCTTGAGTACTATTGCTTTCCTCATGAGTATTATCCCAAGGGATTGATTGAGGATGGTACAAATTTCAACACAATTAGAGATTGCTTGAAAGGTTTTTGTTAGAACTAACTCAACGTATGCACGTCTCTCACAGTGACCAGTCCAATTGTTTTTTAATTCAAAGGTGCGTCAAAAGATGCCTCCAGCGCAAAGGACCCGACATTTTTTCTGGTACAGCAAATACTCTCCTGGCAGAAAATGTGAGTCATTTGGATGTTTTTTGTGAAAATCCCGTGCACGAAATCCGTAGCTGATAAAATGCCTGTCCTTTTGTGGTTAGTGTACCGTAACTTTTCGAATTGCTTCGCTTTTTCAACTCTGACACCTTGTCAAACCATCTCTTGGGACCTCCATTCAATTGGCTATAATCGATCCATCGTTACTGCGATGGTACCAACAGGGTTAAACAGAAAACCCGTACTCGCAGTGATGGACACAGGCATAGGAGCGCGAAAAGTTTGTCATTCAATGCTTAGAGGAGCAGCAACCACGACTGCCTGCTGTGGTCGCATCAGTCGAGCGAGCGTCACGCGTGCGTCGCAGCCCCACCGCATTCTCAAGGCCTCAGCGACCAGTCGACGCGTCCACACGAACTGTCGGTGGGCTGTGTTGATGGATCTTTTTTGTCGTCCGCACCCCTTGAATGCATAATTGTCAAAACGTTGGCCCGCCTTTTCACTGTGATATTTGCGCGGACTCGGACACCAGTCTTTTGCACTACCCTTTGTGTAATACTCTTCCACCAGAATCTCAGATGCCATAGAAAATCGCGTTCCTTTGGACATGACTTTGACGGGCCAGTTGGCTGACTTCTTCGGACGTGTCAGTAATGCAATACGCCGCATGAATGAAATCAACCAGGATTTGTGCGTATTCTGCCGCAACAACAACGAAACCTACGAAGTCTACTCAAGCCACAAGGTACCAAGGGGTTTGTTAACGCCTTTTACTATTTTTTTTTGTATAAAACAGGCTCCAGTAACACCTGACACCACCACACAGTCTCAACTGTAGTTATTGCCACACAAGGAACTCGTAAACACAGAGGGGCGTCGCTTGAGCATGGTTTGATCATTTGAGTGCAGAGTCAGAGAGTGATTGGGCGCTCGCCTCATCCACCTGCCTTTCAGGTGAAGGACCAGGCCGGCAGGGTAACGTGTCCTGCCCTGCGCAAATACGTGTGTCCCCTCTGTATGGCTACAGGGGATTCAGCTCATACGGTCAGATACTGCAAACAAAATATCCTTGAGCGAACACCAAGGGATGATGGCTCTCGAAGTGCTGTTGATTCGATCTGGTCACCTCAATTGGGCACTGTTGGAGACAAAGTGGCATCAACGACAACAGGCTCTGGGAGTTCGGCTCTTCTGCAACCTCTCTTCATGGGGCTTCCAACACGTCTCACTCCTGCACCTTTTTCTAATTAAAACCTGCGTTTTTGTGTATCAATTTTGTCTACTACCTTTTCAGCGGTTTATTTGAACTTTCCGAAATAAAACTATTTGCGTCGTTTAATGTCGTAGTTACACTACACAACGCAGATAAATTGGCAAATGCGCTTGCTGTTAGGATAACACAGGTGGCCAGACGATTGCATGGAAAGCGTCCCGTTGTAGTAAAGTAGGCAAACACAGTAGACGGATTTGGGATCTTCTACGAAACTTGAAAAATAACATGAAAATTCTATTACTTTAACCAGGATAGTGGATTTTTGGGAGCGGATGTGCTATCTAGCGTGCTGTTTTAAAATCTAGCTTTGTTCCATTCACCGAGATCAGTTCCTTTTATGGGTGTGGAGAAAATTGGAGGGCTAGAGATTGGTATTCCCTGAAAGACCGCCAGCAGTAGACTTTGAGACGGAGACTGACCAACTAATCTAGTCCTCGTTGGTTTCTGCTTTGTTCCTTTTTATACAAGATGCCTTCCTGTTTGTCTGCGCTGGTAGTTTTCTTCCATTCAGTCTGCGAATCCGGCATTCCCTGCTTCCCTTCAAACCTACGTTGACTAGGTAGAGACGTAGGATCCATGAAAAGACGCTGGCATTGACTCTGGTTTTGTCCACTATCGTGTTTTTGGGATGGCACGTAAGTACCTCCGTGGACTATTTCCAACAAAGAAAGTGCATATTTACCCTGAATATTAAATTCTCTGGTTATCAAGTTAGTCTAGAATCCACACAGTGCAACCTTGAGCAACTAGGTGTCCTCGACTTGCTGAGTCGGATGCGTCCTCTAAATGAAATCAAATTGTCAACCAACGAAATGCTCCGATGGTGTCACTCAACGAGAATCAAATTTAACGCAGTCCTGATCAGATGGCTTGAATTTTGTTAATAACACAGTAGAATCTATGGCGGCACATTGACCAGACATCCCAATGTGTCTATTCCCACCACCTGATTCGGTTCAATCATTCAGACGAATAAAACATAACGTGAAACAATTGCCGCGACTCTTTGTACCCGGGGAAGGGGCTGAGTACAGCATTTGGACTGCCAAGCGGCTCCGGCTGCCACCGCGCTGGTGACATCAAAAGTGATCTTATGGTATGACACCGTCCGTGCTTGTAAAGTCGTTTCCACTAACTGACACCTTACAGGCTGCCCAGTCACTTACTTACCAAGTGTGTGAGGCCAATCTCCACTACCTCACTAGACGAGTGCTTCAGCAAAGAATAAAATGATTTGATTTATACATGCGTACAATGCGAATTACATTGTCCTTGTTGTTAAAATATCAGGGAAGGAATTAAGGCACTAGAGCTGGGCGCGAAACCAGATTTTACAGTCTGTTTATGCGTGGATAAAGCGGCCTCAATGCGCGCGCACAGGGGTGGAAGAAACATAATTACAAAAAGAAGGGTGTCCGTGAGTCGGTGATTCGGATGCGTCCCATAATTGGCGTCAGAGGGCCGCTGGAATTGTCAGTCGACAGGAGACGGAGGCGACTGGCCGTTGAGGGTGGCCGAAGGTGGTCGCTGGTGTGTCAGCGAGGCGTCCGGCTTGGCGAGGCGGTAGATGTTGTGCTGTGCGCCCCGCAGGGACTTTGACACCTCCAGAACGTACGCGATGCCCAGAAGCACCTCGTCAGTATTCTTGTTCGTCACAGTCTGCAATAGTCCACATGGAAAGGCATTTTTTCTGCTACAAATCGATATTGCGTCTAACTCACTGGAAGTAGGACAGAGAGTTGAACTAATAAGCTGTCTAAATGCATTTTGTTTCATAGTAAGATAACTTCGAAAGGACTGATTAATTGATGTGTTTCTTGATAATTCCTGGTTGACCACAAGTTGTTGATGCTCACCTGAAGTATGGTAAAGTTTTCAAGGACCTGGTTCATTTCAGCAAGAGACGAAAGCTTGAGCAACTTGGCGATGAACTTCTTCATGCATGCACACATTGGGCTACGCAGTTGCTTGTAAACGTACCGGCCATTCTCGAGGACTGGGCTTTCATACTAGAGAGTTGAAATACGTTTTACTCAAATGTTGTCAGTAAAACGTATTTCACAATAAAAATCAAAAGTTTAAGAATCGAGTCTACCTCCAGTTTTTCAACAAATGGTGAGCTGTAGGAGCAAAGCCGTGTTGAAACAAGAAGAGGGACATCCTCTGTTCCTTCAAATCTACAAACCAATAAAGCGAAGTCAAAGTGGGATACTGTTGTGTGGGTGAAATTACTGAAACAATCTTAAACAATGTCATAAGGGGCGAATGTCAATTAAACTAATATAATGCTGGGTAGGAAAACATGAATGCTATAGGCATTGTCAAAAAATCGGTAGAAGATGCGTGGCTGGTAATAATGCTAACTTTCTTTTTTCCCATAGAAATGCTATCACAAATCACAAAATCGATACTTTTGTTTGTGCTGTGAATGGCAATTTTCATTGGCTAAATTGCTTTTCCAAACTACACAAATGACCATTTGTACTGTTAGGTGCTGCAAAACGGCTTGATTCGATGTTAAATTTCTTAGAAACGTCTTTAACCAAACTTTCCCCAATTGAATTAAGCTCTCTGTGTGGTTGTATTAACCCTCGTTTTAAAATTCCCCTAACTATCAGCATCTGAGGGTGCCCAAAGCATTTGGACACCATATTTATCAACAATCGAGGTTATTGGTGATGTTAAGCACTACCAGGCAGCACTTCTCAAAGGAGCTTCCACTAATTCCCTTTAACTGATCTGCATGCGCTGTGATTGGATTCTCCATTTACGGTTGGGCAGCGGGTACAAATAAAATTGACTACGAGCTTGATCTGCATGTAGTCATGCCATCAGTGTTGAAAGCTGTTCTTTTTTATCTGCAGCTGATGACATTTGCGCCGGCACTCTCAGTCCCAGTCAAAGTCGATTTTCGACGGCCAGACATGCACTCCACTAACCAATAGAAACTAAGAGTTGGAAACTGTGGACAGCAGCGTCAGTTTTTCGAATGCGAATGCACTGAACAGTAAGGCTGAGACGTGGCCGCGACCACCATTCCTGATGATAGGGCCTGAAGCAGAGGTTATTAGTCTCACATACAATGCTTAGATTGGAAGCGTTTTGCTAACAGGCGGACGGCGGTTACACATGTCAAGGCGTCATGCGATTCCGGCCTCGCACGCCTCCCCCCCTAATCTGCTGACATCTCGGCCAAGCTCCCTCTTCGTTCCACTTGGTTTCACAAAAAAAATTGCTCAGCGTTTCGAGCCGGCAAAATGATTGCACAGATTGGTTCAATTATGTCGGCATACTTCCACAGAAAAAAATCTCTTCCTAGATCAGCCAGTAACCGTTACTTAAGCTGCTCGGAATCACAGAGCAACTTCTTTTCCATGCATGGTGTTGGCGTTTGAATGACCAAAAGAACGAAACGAAATTGTCCAGTGCCTTCTGGGTCAATGCCAAACTTATCTTTAATGCACACCGTTCCTTTAAAGTGATCCCAGCCTTAACTACAAGACTGACATGTAACTACCAGGACCTCATTGGTGCATACTTACGATAAGTAAGTGATTCCAACGAAATTACTGGTCGATAGTGAGACCCGTCCAATTAACAGAGTAGCTCACGACAACGCATTTTGAAACACATAACGACGCAGGTCGACTTCATGGTTCTGTAAATGGCTGATAGGCGTGCACCTCATAATTTCGGTAAATTACCAGACTAACATGGGGCTTGGCTCTCTCGATTTTCCCCATTAATGTGGCTCAAAGTGTGCACTAACTTGTCTTTAAGTAACATTGAGCGATGATTTCGTCAGTTCTTGTTTATCGCAGGTGAATTACGGAAACAAACAAAATCCGTGAGCAGGAGTGCGGGTCACGTGACCTCTGACTGCAGGACCTAGGAGACAGAGTCGCCTGAACCACATGCCTACTCAAGTTGCCAGTAGCAATTTTTAATGTTCCACACCTCAACGTTGGCAGAAGAAATTAATTTATGCGCAAAAAATGTAATATAACGTGCCAAAAGTACCCTGATGACGTAGCCTGACAGTTATGTGAAAAGAAGTACACGGCGCTAACTGGTGCTAGGGTCAATTTTGTGATGAATGTTCACCACTTACATTGAGGAGACGGCGTAATTTGCAGCCTCGGGCAGTTCAGTGTTGATGTCGGCCTGCAATGGGGAAAGGAGTGACGCGGGAAAATTTTCTCACGGCAAACGCACTTTAACATTTACCAAGACGTGTGCACTGACCGGACAAAAAGGGTAAAAGAAGCCACTCACAACAGCAAAGTGCACGTGAACCACAACAAAAAATACACACACAGAGAAAAATCGTCACATACGTTACGTTATCTGAAATGGCTTTCGTGGATGATTGTTGACTAAAACGTAAAATTTAGAAATGGTCGTGTTGGCCAATCGTCTTCTTGTATTATCAAAAGCAACAGACCAACTAAATTGAAGTTTTACATTTAGGCGAAGACAAAACCCAGTTTTTTTATCATTAAACCCAAACTCAGAAACGATAGATCCGCAGACCAGATTTGTAACTTCTAGATTAACTGGATGGCTTTTTAATAGGCAAATGTCTGTGTATTTATTAAAAGGACAAAACCTGAACTTTAATAGCTCAAATGCTCAGTTATTGATGTGTCTTTTCAGTGGTAAAAAAATCTACAAACAAACGAATGGTACGCTCTAGTAATTGCCACAGAAATGGTGGTTGTTAAATTTCTAGACAGAAAACTCTATGCATTATAATCGAAAACTGCATAGGTAGGCAGTTGAGTTGTCACATGGCAAGATTTAAAAATTTCACCCAGGTGACAAAATTCGCTAAATAACTGAAAAATTTTGGATTCCCTCAAAGCTGTCTGCACTACGTGTGGTGCCCACGTCGACGCACAAGATTTTGGCTTGTATGTTGGCCATAGAAGTGTGCGATTTTTTTGAAAAGAGTTTGTCATTTGTGAGTCCTTTCCAG